TAATCTATGTTCATTCTGCAAGATTCCTTGTCATCCTCAAGTGGACACATTCACTTTTATGAATCAGATGCAGTAGATCCAGAATCCAGAGTAGGTCTTTGTTGCCCAACTACTTATGTAGAGACATGCATTATAGTGAACCTGCATCCTTTTCTAGCTCAAGAGAAAGTGCAGCACTTGTTTATGTGTTGTAACTTATTTTGTCCCACTAATGCATGAACTACTTAGAGATTTGTGGGTCTGTGCAAGCTATCCAAGACAACCACTGGAAGGGTTAAGAAAGCACACTAACAGTCTGATTACACTAGAGAACCATGTGGAAGTTCTCAGACTGTTCTTGTTTCTCTTGTTTGTCATGAAACTGTTGTGTTGGTGTTTCAGCTAGCTAATCAGCTATAACTCAGATATCTCTGCACAGCGCTGCATTGTGCCTTGAAGATATAACCTAAATTGGATTAAATAATTTTCATGATAAGTTGATACTCTAAAGATGAATCTAACGCTTAAAGTACATAGCATTATTAGGAAGCCAAAATACTTACCCTGGAGGACAAGTTCCAGAAATAGGAGGTTCTCTGAATGCTTAAAAGGATGTTCTGCTAGATATTTTTTGTTACACAAAAAAAGATTTAAAGATGAAGAAAAAAAGAGATAAATTACACTAGCTGAGGTGTGAAGATTCCATTCAGGAGATTCTGAAATGAGTTTTTAAGCTAAACACAGGTTTGGAAAATATTGCAAAGCAATACTACAGTATTAAGAAACAAGAGATGGGAAGTTATTGCCAAAGGCCCCAGTCTTTCAATCATTAAGTCAGAAAATACCCTGCATCAAGTTAAGGGCTCTTCCACATTACAAACAACAAATATTCTCAAAGAGATGGAGTTAAAGTTGAATGTACACCCTTAACTTACCCAGTAGTTTTATCCTTTAAGTTAGCAGTCTTTGAATTCTCATAGTAGTATTTTATGAAATGTCTGATTAACAGAAGAGAAGCTTTAAAATGTATAATATGGATTCAAACAAAGCCAAAACTATTATTTTTTTAATAAATGTTTTTAAATTGTAACATACTCCCTTTTTCTACTGGCCTGAAGTATATACTCTATGGCAAAGCATTCATTGTATGTGATAAATTGCAAGACAACTTCAGCTCCTTGAAAGAATCTGGAAGAACAGAACTAAAGACAAAAAGTTATAGGAGAGCCTTAGAATTTAAGTTAGTGATTCTGATATTTAGTTAGCATATAAGATACTTTCCTCTGCTTTACATTATTCTTCCTAATTAGACTTCCCTATTGCATTTTGTCTCCTCCATTTCCCTTGTTGCTTTTGTCTCCAGTCACGTAGCTGACGTTCTCTGTTACCAGTTCATCTCTTTTCCATACCTCAGGATGGTACATGTGTCCAGAAACACAAGCCAAAACCAACAGATTTATCACAGCCTTAATGACAGCTGGCTGCATGCTGAGTGAATTCTTAAATTCCCCAAAACTACTCTTTTGCCAAAACATGTGGAGCTGCAGCATTCAACATTTTATTGGGACTGTTATCTCCAAGTGCAGAATGACTCCACTAGAAAAAATTATTTGGTATCAGCTATAGACCTATTTTTAGCTTCTTGTTTGGTGAGACTTCAGAAAACATAATTAACCATATGTTGAAATATGTTCGCCAAGTCTTGAATTCAGTTTTTGCAAACCACATTTAAGCGCTACCTTGTCCACAACTTTACGCTGTTGGAATCAAAAAACAAGTTTTTGAATAAGAATGTGATTCTTCATATTTCTTTGAGTAAATATTTGTGTTTGTGAAGGTTGTAGAACTGGCAGTACTCAAAACTGAAATCTTCCATTTGTTTTTACGGGAAGGTCTGTACAGGCAACAGTACTGGAACCATCCACTAATTTTGTCACTTATGACAAACTTTGCATTGGGTAGCTGCTTTCTAGGAGAGAGGAAAAGTAGAACAGGTCAGAAACACTCATTCTCCCACAGATATATTAGTAGTGAAAACAGAACTAGATTATTTTAATCAACATCATGCACAGAAAATGTTAACTTTTTGTCAAAAGTCAAGAATTTCTACATGAAAGCCAGAGTTTTTTCCAAGCAAAGATAAATAAAATGTCACATTTCAAACTAGATTAAAACAAACCGAAAATTAATTCATACCTGGCTAAGCCTTGGTAGAGAATTGCAGTCAGGTGCCTGATGATAGCATTATATCCTCTGAACCAGAATGCCTGTTTGGGCTACATTTCCCACAATATATTTACAGTTTCTCCTCAGAAAGTTTTCTGCCAAATGATGATAAATTTTTGCAGCCCTGGAAAGACAGTTTGGGCTATTTGAATCAGATAAATGTCTCCTTTCTCTTTCAATTCATAGACAAAAAAAGAGAACTTCTCCATCTGCTATAGGAGTAAGACCCGGTTTTAATTTTTCTAGCAGATGGAGAAGTTTTCTCTGGTTCCCTCTGATTACACATGGTTCCTGTTCCACCTTCTCACTCTTTCATAAAGCTACCATAAAGAAGGAGGAAGAGATTTCTTACATTATGGGTCATACTGGATGGAGCAGAAGTGTACAAAGGCTAGAAGGAAGGAAAAGTGGAGAATTTAGGGCTGTTCCACACCCCTGGCTGGCCTAACTCACAACAAAAGTAGGGCTACTGCAGCATCTGTGTTCTTTTCCCCAGCTGTACTGAGAGTAAAGTCTAGGTAATTGAAAGTTGAGCCTCCTGGCTATAATCATTTAAAAATTGGTCCCTGAATTCTTCTGTTTCCATTTATTTGTATTGACTGCAGGCTGCTGTCTCTTAAGTTCAATCTTATTTTCATTGACTTGTTTGGCTTCCTTTTTCAGTTGTCCTCATTGCCACTTGATAGAAATTTCTGCAAAACATTTGAATTGCTACTGCTCTAGCAAAGTTAAGACAGAAAAACAACTCTGTTAAAACTATGTATTGACAGGCTAGAGAATTTCGCATATAAGTAACCTTCATTTTTAGTTGACTTTTGATGAACAACATAGTGTAACAACTTGGAACAATTTTTTATGATGACAGTGACATTACCTTTTACAATTCACAGTGCTTAAGAAAGGGAGTTTTTGACCCCTTATATGAAGAGACGTTTGTAGATGGCTTTCGGAGGTGCCTAGGTCAAGGGTAATCCACTGAACTGAATCACAAGATTACTACAAATTATCAAATTATCTCATGACTCAATATAGAGTGAATAACATCACCCTGTGTGATGCAATACGATAGAATACAAGCGACTGAATATCCAGAATAGCAAAAAAACAATTTAAGAAAAAAAAAATCAGTGGGTTTAATCACATTTCACTGAGTACTGACTTCAACTGAGTTGTTCTAGCAAGCTTCCAAAGCACAAAGGACATGAGTGTTAAACTGAGTTTTTGTCTGTAAAATATGATTAATCAACCTTTTTTTGGTCTGTAGTTACAGACATTGGAAACTTACTTAATTAAATGGTTTTTTTAGTTGAATGTTAGCAGAGCTGAGACAGAGGGTTTATTTGTTTAGCTAGGGTAGAGAAGATGATTATCTTTCAGTTAACCTGTTTCTCAGTAGATGAAGGCTTTTCTTGATTTTACAGATAATTATAAGTACAGATGAACTCACTGGTTTAAGTGGAAATAATTAGAAGAGTAAAACTTTTACTGTGCAGCAAAATAGAAATCTACAATATCTCTTTTATAGATAAGGAATAGGTAGGGTTTCTGTCCAAAAGCGTGCAAAACAGGCTGTTATCCTGTAGTGTATTGCATGTAATACCTAATCTAGAATGCTACTAAATATTTAAAAATTATTCTCTTATCTCTCTATGAAGTTTAATTTTCATGTTTTTTTGATACTCACAGAACATTCTAACTCTCATGACCTGTGAATATGAATGTTTTTCCCTTTCTCTATTTAAGCGTTTGACAGCTTTTAATTACTTAATTTGCTCTGATTAGCTTACTCTATAAGTCTTCATTTGTAAGCAGATATTTTAGTTCCAAATAGATGCTGACAGAGCATAAGTAATCATCAGTCTGGAAAAAAATGAATCAGCACTGAATTTTTTTTTTTTCCCCCCTAGTATGCAGATGTATAGCTTGGTAAAGATTATGTGCATGTCTCTGCTTAGAAGTAGTTTTAATTTGAAAGCTTAGAAAGACAGATAATCCCATCCTCCCTCAAAACACATACACTGCTGAAGCTGCACGTTTAGGGTTATGTTTTCCTTTATTGGTACCATTAATATCAATGAATAATGGCTTCCCATGTGGTAATCTAATTATGGTTTGAAATAATTAGTGAACTGGACCAGTGTCACAGGATCAAGGAGGAACTTAATAAAAGAAGGGTAAAGGTGAATTATATGGGGCATGGGAGCCTAACTAGGAATAATGAGATAATGAAATTAAGTAAAGAAAAATTCTGACTGAATACCAGTGGCATCTTCACAGGGAGTTCTGTAAAGCTGTGAAACTTGCAGAAACTCTAGCACAGGGGATATTTGAAACTGAGCAGGTCAAACATGAAAAAAATCTACTGTATGGAACCAGTTTTTCACTGGTAAAGAGATAAACGGGGTGACCTAATATCTCTTTTCCATTGCTAGTGTCTATAAGTCTGTTTGGCTGAGTACTTGGAATTCTGTATGTGTTAGTCTCACTTGGACTTCTTTTGTATATAGCAGTAGCAGATTGTTATCCTGTGGAAGTGCTAGACAGTAAATAGCTTCATTTTCAGTATTATTGAACAGTTATATTTTAGGATATATGGAGCCAAATTATGTCTACCTGTTTAGTTGTAAGAGTGAGAAGGAGAGAGACAGGAAACCACTTATCCTGTGGGTCAGAAAAAAATCCTTAAATTGGCCAACTGCATGGGACATTTCAAATGGTGGTAAGTAAGCAATGGCTTCGTTAATTTTTAACATTTTAAAACTCTTTAACTGTTTGCTTTCTTGTATCTTTTACAGACCATCTGAAGGGAGAGCTAACCCAACGGCACATTCAGAGGGCAGCTTTAGGTAAGAACATTGCAGATACAATAGAATACAACAGGAACAACAGGTTATCGCCCAGGGCTTTATCTTGCTCATTGGGCAGATTGTATTTTCTGCAACAGTTTATGCCACAATATTTCTACAGTCATCGACACCATAAAGAGCATTGACTCTGTGAACTTTGCCAGAGATTTGATTCAAAAGGCATCTGAATTTATGTGCTAGGAAAAATGATGCAAAAGTCATATGAATAGTTTCTTCTAAAATTGTAAAAGCATTCTTTTCATGGTGACCAAAACAAGAACAGAGAGGTCTAAGCTCTCCAGTTTTTAGACTGTTTTGCTCTTTGATGACTCTAATTTGAACTCCTGTTAACTATACATTGATTTGTCCTGAAACTGGACTTCTAGTTAGCCATGCTGCCACAGTCAAACATCCTTTCAAATTTTTCTCATTCCAAGAGGAACTAAAGGCATATACAGGTAATTTCTTTCAGATCTAGCTATAGAAGATGAAAAGTTATTCCTTGCAGGTTTTGTTGATGCAGGTGTGAAGCTGAAAGCATCTGTATAAATTTTCTTGTTCACATAAGTGTGGAGTCATCCAAATTTCGTTTAAAACGCTTTAAGGTAACTCTGCTGACTTTGCATTGAAACTGACTAGAGCTGTTCATATGAGAATTCCACTTTCGGGTCAGTAACCTGTAGCTAAAATGTGACAGAGGACAGGTGGAGGCAATAACAGTTTATGCCCCTCTCACTGAGATCCAGAGAAGAATGTTAAACTGTGCCTTCATGGACCTTCTTTATATGAAGAATGGAGCTAGCTCAGACTGGGCTGCAGTTTATGGTTTTGTTTCAATGGATGCACAGTACACCAACCAATATTTGGCCCTTTTTAAAGGGGAGAAAATTTTTGATCTTGCGTATCTCCTGGAAGTCAGGAAAATAAGTTACTGCAAAGTAACAAGATAGTAGTTTCTTCTTTCTCTTTTTATTTTAGCGCATCTCAAGCTATATTGATGATGTTAGTGATTTATACCCTTATCCTTTTTTAATCTTTGTTTAAAAATCAACACTGAAAATTAATGCTATCCATGTCAATAAAGCCCAGGAGTCAAACTCCATTTATTTTGATCGATATCTGAAGTGCAATCTAAAAGTGAGATCTTCAGTAAAGCATGGAGTTCTTTCCTTAATGCAGTCCAGGTTATAATATTATTTATTGACTGTATGTCACATTAAGAAGTTGCACCAATAGCAGTGTTGTTTCTGAGAATTCCTTATTCAGTGTTTCTAAAAATAAAGAAATGATGTACTCTGACTGTATGGTACAATCTGCATAACAGCTAGGCCAACTTTGTATACTGATTTATTATCATATATAGAAAATTGTGTTGAAAATGCTGTTTTCAATAACTATCAAAGTTGCTTTTCATAAAATAGGTAAGCATAATTTTTTTCATGTCCTTAGGAAATGACCCAGTAGTGGCTTTACCAACCATACATTCACACTGTAAATATTCTATTGGTATTCCACACCATAGCAGGCAACCCATGTGTTTTTGACTTTTGTTTTAAGCATTGCTATCTGCTTATCATCACTAACTCTGGACCGCACAAAATATTTTTCCAAATACTCTGGATGAACATTCTTCCAAGAAGCAACAGGTGTCAAGTCTCCCAGCATCTTTCTTGATGACCAGAATGTCATCAAGATAGTCTTAAATGAAAACTGTATGGCAAAAAAGCTAATTAAGAGTCTGCTGAAATCCCAACATGAATTAAAACATACCATTGTTTCAATTAGAAACCAAGTTAACATCTTCCAGCTGCCACTGTTTTTTTCTTAACTTAAAACATTTTTATGGTCAAAACTCTTTAAGAAGCTATTTTAGTTGGATTTTAAACAGTGGTGATCTGTTTCCCTCATGGCTATGCTTAAGATGTGGATTTCTCACTGAAAGAAAACTCCACTACTTAGCCCATTGTTCTTTCCTACTTCTTTTGAAACAGTATGCTGGGAGTTAACAAAGGGCACAAAAAGATGCGAGGTTTCACTGATGGCAGGGAAGTGCTCCATTCTTTTCAGTACAGACCAGAAGCACTGAATACTTTGTGTAAAATTCCCTTCTCAGTGTCACTTTCATCTTTATTGATGCTGAGAATACCTTATCATGTGCATAGGACTCCTTTTTTCATTAAGATCAGAGTAACATACACTCTGAAGTGGCATAAATTGACATTACAGGGTCCAGTCATCTTTTTTTTCTCTCTTTTCGTGTTATTTTTGCCTTTCTTTATTTCCCTGTCCACCTTCCTTTTTTATCTCCTTTTTAACTTTTCCTAATTCTTCCTGCCTTCATTTTTTCCATTGTTGGATTCCTCTCATTTTCTATTTTTTCTCAACTTTTCCTCTCCCCAACATCATTTACTTTTGCATTTTACCTCTGGAAGGGCCTGTGTGAGTCTTTCGTCTGTCTTTTCACTTCACCTTTTGCATCTTAAACTGCATTTTTAGGCAGTCTTTAAAATGAAATAATATGCACAGCACTGAAGTCCTGATAGAGCAAAAACCTTGGGTCACGAGGATACTTCTGGAAAGGAAGGGCAGAAAGGATGGAAAGAAAAGCTCTCCCTGGGGTCTTCAGCGCTGTAGAAGGCATATACATATTTTATGTGATTCTAAGGGAGTATTATCTTCAGATGCTTTAAATTAGCATTTCAATAAAATATCAGACCTGGTTCTTCATTATCTTATTCTTCTTTTAAATTGATTAAACATCGTTGCAAACAAACAGACAAGCTAGTGTAGTATTATCCACCTAACGCTGGGGGAAGACTGAATCCTAAGGTAGAGCTGTGTGCTGACATAGGAAGATCCCATGACAATACTGAGAAAACACTCCTGTAGGGATACAGTCATGCTGGCAAAGGCATGTTTTGTAAAACAACTTTCTATAACCGAAGTAACTGTCCTGAGAATAGCAGAGTTTTGCCTGTTTAATTACATCTCCAGCAGAGGCCTCTGTTGGCCTCTGTTGGGTCAGCTCTGGAAGTCAGGAAGTTTTGAAATCTGGCCTACCAGCAACCTACTTGTTCTTTTAGGATTCTCCTGAAAAAATCTGGAGATGGCAACACCTTTCAGTGAATGAGAAGAGAAACTGCTTCTAGGAAGGTTTGTTAGGGCCAGATTCACCTGTTTTTCTGTGCAACTCCATTGTTCTCAGTAGAGCTATTTGTGAAAAAAAAAAAAGGTACAATCTAACATGGATAAAGATGACCAGTATGGGCCATTGTAAAGAATCTGTTCTCTGATTTCAGCATCAAGGCCCTATTTTATCAATATTTTTATTTTAAAACTCCATTTTCCCAGGATTTATAACTTGGCTTTTTAAAATATTTTATATCTGTGCTGTTATTCAAAGAGCTGTTCCCAAACTCCTTTTTGAGTAAGCTTCTTTTGAAAAGGCCTATCCCTCATGAAATATAAAATGACTAGGTGAGTCATAAATACCAGATATGTTTGAATCCTAGAAAACACTTTTCAGCATTTGATTTAGAGTTGAGAATGCCTGAGAGCAAAGATTTTGATATCTGCTACTTTTACATTTATATTTGTATCACACATTAGTTTTAGGCAAGAATAGGGAGCTTTCTCCATATTCTCTTCCCTCTATAGCCTTGTCTGTATCATCTTTTCTTACATTTTCTAAATTGCATACTTGCAATAAAGAAATTATAGCAGTTATGCCCTTGTTCCTGCCCATCTACGTGTTTCTTTATACCTACTAACAGCACTATCAGAACCTCGATAAAGCCAGGACATACAGCGCTGCATTATTTACCAGGGTGCTTATTTACAGGAATAATCCAGCCAGTGTTAGGGAACAATTTCAAATAATATATTGCTCCAATGCCCTTGTCTGTGGTGCTCTGAGAAGCCGCCACTACCGTATGGGATGGTGGAATGCGGATGTATTTTCTGATACATCTATGTGACTCTGGACAGGTAGACTTGGGAACTGCTGCTCCCACTTGTCCAAACTGAGATACAGCCCATGCCACTAGAAGGACTAGACCACTATGACTTATACTTGGTAAGTATATGAGGGCTGCTTAAGAAGCGTATGAAAGTTTTCTTTGCGAGCCTAGCAGCGCTCTACAGACATACATAATATTGACTAGGCTAATAGTTAATAAATATGTCTTCTAGCTCAACTTCTGTCCTCTGTGTAAAAGGAAAGCACACAGCATTTCCAAACTGCTGGTTTGCATCATATTTAATCTCCTATTTAAATAAAATGAGGTCAGTTTCTTTTACTGCTTTACATCATGTAACTGAGAAGCCATTTAACTTTATTCATATGAAGCAGTAGATTCTTGATGTACATTAATGCCTTGAAATGAGGAGACACAAATGTTTTCAATCACAAAATGACAGAAGCTGAGAAAAGTGGCAGTGTCTGTTTTCCCACACAAATCTAGGGCAACCCATGGAGAATAATAGTTTTAATCAGAAATAAATTAAAAAAAATGATTTGAGGCCATCATTTCTGGCATTGAAAATTGATATCTTAGACGTAGGCTAAATAAACACCTTTGGAGACATAATTTGTTTGTCTGAAGTCTAGAATTTTATATTTGGAGCTTTTTGGTTTTTATTTGGTTAGTTTTGTTTTGTTTTGTGACAAGAGATAAAGCAGCATCTTCTCAGGGCTGCTAGGTATCCAAAGGCACTGCATCTATAAGCGTGTGGGTGGGTTCATGCATTTTACACACCCCTGTGTTTTCAGTTTGTAAAATACGCTATTTTCAGCAGCACTGAGGAGTGTACTCAGTTAATATGGAATACCCTCAGGTATAAGGGAAAGATTTCTCATAGAAATTCACATTTTTGATATGCACATTGGTTCAATATGATCTGTTTGTTTAGTTATTTGTGCTTGAAATCTCAAGCAATAACAGGCTGTTTTCTATAAAAGTTCACAGCTCCTGTAAGCAGCATGCATTACAGCATGTAAG